ATCACGTTCATACAAACACACGTGCAATATCACGTTCATACAAACACACGTGCGTGCAATATCACGTTCATACAAACACACGTGCAATATCACGTTCATACAAACACACATGCGTGCAATATCACGTTCATACAAACACACATGCGTGCAATATCACGTTCATACAAACACACGTGCAATATCACGTTTATACAAACACACGTGCGTGCAATATCACGTTCATACAAACACACATGCGTGCAATATCACGTTCATACAAACACACGTGCGTGCAATATCACGTTTATACAAACACACGTGCAATATCACGTTCATAAAGAATCCACAACCATATGCCACACGTATACTACTTAGCGTATCGTACAAATTAACATTATATTCACTCATCAATCAAACATTATCAATGAGTATTATTTTTGAGCATCCATTTAAAAATAAAATCGCTATTGACTGTGCCATTACTCATTAATTGTCATCTAATCAGCACAACATTTGTGGTTAAGTTAGTCTACGTGTATTTCTCAAATTTTCTACATTCCATCAGTTGGTGTAAGCCGGCATACGCCTGGAGTTTGTTTGATGTCATCTTTGTGTTTGATTAACGGTATCTTTGTGTGGACAGAAGCACGCCGACGACGTGCGACGTCGACACCATGTCTAGCTCGACGATTGCAAATACTTGCGAAACCTCTTAGAGGGTTTACGACTTTCCGTGCAAAACTCTTTCGTGGAGTTGCGATCGACGTATCGTCTATCGATGTCTTTCACGGCACTGTAGTACAGCCTCATGTTTGTTCGCTCTGTCAGGCGTCGTCCCTTGTCTATGCCTGGAGAATGCACCAGGAAGGCATCGTCGAGTACGTGGAAGTCATAGTTGGCTCTACACAGCTCGTACAACTGCAATACGAAGTAGAGTTCAACGTACATTGATGATTATATTGGATGATCTTACTCTCTCTCTCTCTCTCTCTCTCTCTCTCTCTCTCTCTCTCTCTCTCTCTCTCTCTCTCTCTCTCTCTCTCTCTCTCT